CCATCATCCTGTCAACAAAAAGGTGGCAGCAGTATTTACTGGGGAGGAAATTTATAATCAGAACTGATCATGAGAGTCTTAAATATCTACTGGAGCAAAGGATTCATACAAGTATTCAGAATAAATAGCTTGCAAAGCTACATGGCTATAACTATAGAGTGGAGTACAAGCCACGCAGATTGAACAAGGTAGCAGATGGATTATCCAGAATTCATGATGATGAAGAGGAGATTCAAGCACAAACTACTGAGGTTTTAGCAATCACTACTCTTAACAGTGAATGGCTAGAGGAGATAAAGCATATGTGTTCTACAGATGATTACTTTAGGCAGCTGGATGCAAAGTTACAACAAGGGCATTTGGATGCTGAGAAATATTCCATGAAAGGAGGAATTTACTACTACAAGGGTAAACTTTTGATTAGCCCTAGTGATCAACATATTAAATCCTCCTTATTAAAAGAGCACCATGATAGTCCAATGGTAGGGCACTCTAGAATTACTAGAACCCTGCAGAGGCTGAGAAGGGCTTGTTATTGGAAGGGTATGAAAAGGGATGTTCAGCCTTATATCCAAGGTTGTGATATCTGCCAAAGAGCTAAAGGAGAGAATATAGCCTCTCCAGGTCTCTTACAACCTCTACCAATCCTAGATTACATTTGGGAAGATCTCTCGATGGATTTCATTACTCAGTTATCAAAAAGTGGAGATAAAACTGTTATTTTTGTGGTGGTTGACAGATTGTCCAAGTATGCTCATTTTTTCCACTCTCACATCCCTACACTGCTAAATCAGTTGCTCAGGTCAAACTACATGGCATGCCTAAGTCTATAGTGAGTGATAGAGATCCATTATTTACAAGTCTCTTATGGAGAGAGTTGTTTAAATTACAGGAAGTCAATTAAAATTCAGCTCAGCCTATCACCCTCAAACTGATGGCCAAACTGAGATCATTAACAAAAGTTTAGAGGGTTATCTGAGATGTTTTTGTTGCCATAAGCCTAAGGAATGGAGTAAATGGCTGCCTCTTGCTGAATTTTGGTATAATACAACCTGGAAAGTCTCTACACATACCACTCCTTTTGAGGCTGCCTCTTGCTGAATTTTGGTATAATACAACCTGGAAAGTCTCTACACATACCACTCCTTTTGAGACGGTCTATGGTAGACTACCTCATTCTTTGCTCAACTATGTTCCTAAGAGTTGCAAGGTTGAGGCAGTGGACGAGGTTCTCTTTTCTAGAGATATTGCCTACAATTTTTGAAAGATAGTTTGAAGAAGTCAGTTGAACAAATGAAGAAATTTGCAGATAGACACAGGAGCCATCAGAGCTTTGAGGTGGGTGATTGAGTTTATCTCAACCTTCAACCTTACAGGCAAGTCAGTGTCTCTTTATGTAAACCCCACAAACTATCTCCCAAGTATTATGGTCCTTACCAGATTTTAGAGAAGATAGGTGAGGTAGCTTACAAGTTAGCCCTTCCTGAGCAAGCTAGGATCCACCTTGTTTTTCATATCTCTTAGTTCAAACGGCGGGTGGGTTTTGATGTTGTTTTACAACGTGACTGGCCTAACTATGTGGAAGAAATAATTGATGAACCAGAGGCAATTTTAGATAGAAGATCTGTCATCAAGGGAAATCATTTGATTTCTGAAGTCCTTATTAAATGGAAGCAGCGGTCTTCACTAGATTCTACTTGGGAATCCTATTGGGACTTGGTGAAGAGGTTCCCTACTTTTAACCTTGAGACAAGGTCAAATTTAGGAGGGAGGAATTGTCAGGAGTTGGCACTGATGCAATTGGAATTGAACTTGGAAGCTGAAGATGCACCTCACGAAGAAGACTTGGAGGAATTCAGTTGAAGAATCACAACTGCTAGACTGATATGCAAAATTAAGACTGATACGCAAAGTATAAGGGCTATTATGCAAGACTTCCAAAGTTTAAGGACTGTAATAAATGTTTGAGTGTTTGTTAGAATTCTGTTAGAGTGTTTGTTAGAATTCTGTTAATACTGTTGGAGAATTCAACTGTTTGTGCACGTGCATAGTTCTTGCACACAGTGCTTGAGAAGAGTTTGTATAAATAGATTGATGTAACAAATTGAAATCAGGTTTTTGAATAATAAGAAAATCTAATCTCTTCTCCTCAGTCTATTACTCTCTCTCTCTCTCTCTCTCTCTCTCTCTCTCTCTCTCTCCTCTCTCTCTCCTCTTCTTCTCCTCCTCTCTCAAATTCCTCTATCATTTTTCCATCTGTCTCTTCCCTCTCAAAGCTCCAGTGAGTCACTCAATCGGCCAGAAGAATGAATCGAGGCTGTCAACGAGCCTCACAGATTCAATGTATTTTGTGCCGCCCCCCCCCCCACCCACCCAAAAAAAAAGAAAAATGAAAAAAAAACAGACACCCTAAATCCCCAAAAAAATTCACGGTTTCACCACTATTTAGAGTTTCAGTTTGTGTATAAAATGGAGGTGCAATTATACAAAAAATCATAAAAAAGAAGCAAAACTCTCTCTCAAATTTCAGCACTCAATTCTCTTGTATCTCTATTATAAATTTATTTTTTTTCTTTAGTTATCTTACAACATAATTTATCCTTGTTTTTAAATTATTCCAATTAACTTTGACTTAATTGGGCTTATTTTACCATAATATCCATCACGTAATCTTAATTATCAATGATATTTATTCCTCTATAATAATAGGAGGACCCAAGATTCACTATTCATGCCACAGTAAATTTTACAGCAAGTTATCATAGCGGTTGTTACTGTAGCACAGTCATGAAATAAGTCACTGTAGAATTATTATTGTAGCACAGACGAGCACTGTAGCGTTTAAAACAATGTCGTAGCATTATCACTGTAGCTCAGGCGGGATACTGTAGCATTTAAAAATGTTACTGTAACACTTACAAAAACTGTATTTAAATACAGAATTACTATAGCAAAAATAAAAAACAGAGGTCGTGCTTTGCACGAGGTGCACACTAGTTATGATTTATTGTTAAATATAATCCAAATCAAATTTTCTGTTCTTTTAACTTTTTTTTTCGGAAAAACATGAATTTCTTAATTCTTGAGATGATCCAAATTATGGAAACCTTTTTTCTTTTGTGTTTTCATAATGAAATAAAAAACTTACATTTTCCGAGAAAGTACTTGGGAACGCTTGGAAATAGGTGTTTTAGGTAGATTTAGAGGGGTTTTTTTCTTCCTTTTCTTTCCTTTTGTTTTGTTTTGTTTTGTTTTGTTTTTGTTTTTAAAACCCCACCAAACACGTCCTTATTGGAATTTATTGATTGAAGTTGATTTAGGGTCAGTCCGCTGGATTGAATGGACCTAGCCCTTGTAGACTTAGACTAAACTGTACTTGCAATGCATTTACGCTTGGGCTTCGGCCAGGCCCACTACCCGACACAATATTTTTTTATATTGCCACGTTAAAGTCGAAGAAACTCACTTGTATTTGTGCAAGAATCTTTCTAAATTTTGGGAACAAAGTATTACCATGATGAGACGTATCCTCTGTAAGCACTACTTCATTATAAAAAATTTGATATCTATCTTTTATTCCCCCAAAACCGGCTAGCTACTGTAAATCACTATCAAAATTTAATAGTTATCTTTTTTTTAGAACTCAAACCTAGAATTAAGATAATTTGTGAGATCAAATTTTATAATATTAGTCAATTAGAACTAAAATAAGAATAAAATTTTATAGTGTTAAATAATTAGAACTCTAACAAAACTAGAACTGAGATAATTGTATAAAAATATCCCTTTTTTTATTTTTCTATACAAAAATAATAATTCTAGTCTCTCGAAGTAACTCAAGTTTTAGCTTGGATTCTATGTGGCAAAAAACTAAAAATCCTATTTATTTTATTATTTATTATTTTTATATTTTTTCTTTACTTCTTTCCTACTATGGTCATCGCTATCATTAGACCATGCAGTCTAATTAGATCTCGTCTCCTCTTAGTCATCTCTCATATTTTTTTTACTGAATATTATACTTCTATATAATTAATTTAAAAGTAAATGTTGTATCAATCCATAATTTATTAAATAATTAAATTG